AGATTTTCATTATTTTAATAATGTATAATAATAATAATAATTTATATTTTAAATTCAAGACATATAACTTATTTATACAGCAAAAGTAATGTTATTTTTACTGTTGTAAGAAAAGTAAAAATTGAAAATTTCTCTGTTGATAAAATAAATAATAAAAATTAATTTTATTTGATAACAACGATTTTCAGAGAATTAATAAATAATTATTAAAAAAATGTTTAAACATTGTCAAAAAGGGGTTTCGTAAATTTCTTCTCATCTTTAAAGGATAAAGTATTTCGAGTTGGCATTTGGAGGAATAATAGAGGAATATTATTTTTGCAATAATATTGTGAGGAAATTATTTTATTAAAGATTTAAAGTGGAGTAATTTGGGGTAAGTTAGTTCAGCAGCGGCCACTAGCTAGAATTGGCGCCACCTTCTGGGCCACTGACACATAGATTCAATGTCTGTCCCCACTTCTGTCAAAAATCCAACTTTTATAACCACAAAATTACTTTTAAAAATGGAGATGCTTCTTAATCAGCTCGCCCTCATCTAATTAATCCGACAAATCCGAACAAGATATTTCAAGTTATTTACGTATTATTTTGTCAATCAAAATTAATCGATTAACTTTAATAGAAAATGAATCCATTTGCCGGGCCCAGGGCAATGTTTACATCAGAGCTTAGAAAGAGTAGGGAGGTACAAGATATGGTAGAGCCGAAGATGCACGAAGGTAGCATGCTCACAGACATATGAGTGTAGCGTTGTAGTGGTGAGCAGTGGTGCTGATTTGCAGTTGTACGTCCCCACTACTCAAATGTCTATTTTCGTGCTACACTTCGAGCGCCTCTCCTGTAAAATTTGCTTTGGAACCGTAAGGTCCCTTTCACCGCGTCAGGACACATATACATACACATATATACATTGCTTGAATCGCATTTCATCAATTTCAACGAGATTAGTGAGCGTACGTATATAGCGTATGTCATTGATTCGTTGATAACGTCACAAACTGACACTTCTGTGATAGTTACATCTTTATAAACGACACTTGAAAGTATAAATTTTCATATATGATTTCAATCGCAATATTTTTAATTTAAAAAATATCTTCATTTTTTTTTTTAATTATTATTTTATTCATAACTAGCAAAAGTAAACGCGCGCCAAATTGAGTATTTAATTGTTTGTTATAAAGAAATTAAAGATTAATATTATCAATAATAATTTAACTTATTAGAATATTATTACATATTAAATGATAATAATGAAAATTATTCGTTTACAGGCCTTGGATTATACGACTTTTTCCGACTTTTTTCAAAAATACGACTTTTATATCGACTTATTTTAATAAAATGCGACTTTTTTTTACATTTGAAAAAAAAATGAAAATAAAATACATTTTTTTAGTATAAAATGTAGATCTTCTTCAGATCTTCTTCAATTCAATTATTTAACAAATTTTGAACTAAAATGATTCTTCACTAAATTAATTATTTTTAATAATTTTAATGAAATACATCACAAATTCAATTATATCAAAATTATTTTTCAATTAAAATTTTTATGAAATTTAACAATTGTTTATAATTTAAAAAAAAATATCACAATAAAATTGAATTATTTTTTAAAAATTTCAATTCAAAATAAACTAAAATTCAATTATTACCCGAAATTTTAATTCAAAATCAATTAAAAATCCAATAATTATCCAAAATTTTCAATTTAAAATTTAATTATTTACCAAGTTTTCAATTTAAAATGAAATAAAATTCAATTATTTTCTAAAATTTCTATTCAATATTAATTATCCAAATTTTCAATCAAAAATGAACTTAAATTAAATTATTATCCAAAATTTCAATTAAAATTCAATTATTTCCCAAAATTTTCAATTTAAAATGAATTGAAATTCAATTATTTTCCAAATTTAAAATCAAATAAAATTTAATTGTTCTCAAAAATTTGAATTCAAAATTTATTGAATTTTCAATAATTTGAATTTAAAAGCATCTAAAATTTAATTATTTCTAAAATTTTCCATCGAAAATTTTTTTTTTTTGAAATTTAATAATTTCAATTATAACTCTAAGGAAATTCAATTATTTTTAACTATTTTAATAATATTCTTTGAAAATTCAACTATCTGAAACCATTTTTCAATTAAAAAAAATGATTTTCAAATTATTGTATTTTGTCCGCATTTTCTAATAAATTTTTAGTGAAATCATCTAAAATTTTAATTAAAAATCACTTAAAGTTTCAATTAATTTCAAAAATCTCAATTTTAAATCTTTGAAAATTCAATTAATTTTAAAAAATGTTTTCCAAAAATTGTTTGATAAATTATTTTTAGTTCTGTAAAATTTAATAATTGTTTGAAAATTAACAATATCTTTTGAAATTTAATTATTTCTAAAAATTTCAACTTTAACCCTTCGAAAAGGATTATTATTAAAAAGAAAAATTTTTATTTAAAAATCTGTAAAATATTTTTGTTAAAATAAAAAAACACAAAATTGTTCAAAATAAAAGTTTCTATCACGGAAAAAAATCTTTATCTGAAACAAAGATAAGTTTCACTGGAATAGCGAAATATTTCACTAAAACAGGGAAAGTATTCGCTAATCTAGAGAAACATATCGCTGTTCCAGATAAAGATTTTTTTCCCTGTAGATATTTTGATTTTTGAGGCTTCGCAATAAATTTGTACATATATTATTATTTTATTATTATTATTATTATTATTATTTTTATGTAATATTTATAGCATTCAATATTAATTATTAAATTAATAATATAATTAAATCCTAATTATTTTAAATTTTTATATAAATTATTATTATTATTATTTTTTTTTTTATCTAAAAAAATTTTTTGTAACGTTTCTTGAACAGTAATTTTTTGAAAAAAAATTTGCAGGCATACAAAATACTTATTATTTATTACATTTATTAATTAATTAAGTAATTAATTAATTATTTCATTAAATTTGTCTTTAATCGCTTATCATATGCGTTGTGAATTTCACCGCGACGTAAATTTTGACGACAAATAAATATTGTGAAAAATATATTTTTGAAAAAAAATTTTATAAATTTTTTTTTTTGCATTGTGTTCTATATATATTTTTTTTTGAGTATATTTTTTTTCCTATGAAAAATTACAGAATAACTGTCAAAGGAAAATCTCTCATTCAGCTTCTTGGTTCAAAAATATATTTTTCAATTAAGAATAGAGAAAGTGTGACGCAGCAAAAATTTTATCCATATATATAAATAAGAAAAGTTTTTGATCTATATAATACGGTAAATCACATTTCTCCCCATTTTCTCAAGGGATTGGCTTGTGGTCTTTTTTTTTCTTTTTTTTTTTTTAAGAAATATTCCAAAAATAACAGAGTGTAGAACTTTGATAAGAAAACAAAAAAAAAATTAATTCCTTCAGGTTGGATTATATGATCTTGATGTAATGCGCAATTATTATTAATATATCATTTATTTTATAATAAAAAAAATTTAATTAAATATTTTTTTACAGAAAATTTTTTAATAATATTTATTTATTTACTCACGGGACCTGATATATAACTATATTTTTTTTATTTTCAATAACAATATAATAACAACTAATACAAAAAAATAAATAATAATAATATACCTGATATAAATAGAGTTAGTATTAAAAGTGCACACAAATTTTAAAAAAAAGTTTGAGTTATAAATAATAAAATAAAAAAGAAAATTTTTTTTTTAATATACTTTTAAATATAAAATTACTAATTGATTCTTGATAATTTTATTATTTTTAAGATAATAAAATTCGCCGATACGTGAGAGTTATTTGAGTTTTCTCTAATTGCACGTTTCAGGCGTACGAGAATAATAAATTATTAATTTATATGCAGAGAGATAGAGAATTAACTAAGTTTGAAATACATATATATATATGGATTAAAATTTCAAATGTTTGACGTCTGTCATATGTGAGTTTATTAATTAAAAGTCCTCGAGAAGTTTAGGCCTTTGATAATAATAATAATAATAATAATTTTCCTAATAGAGCATCTGCACTTTATTCACCAACTGACATCCAGTATTATTGATTCTTTTAGACTGCACTTTCAATCTGGGTTACCTCCCTGAATCCACAAACCAGTTATAAAGAATTGATTTCTTAGAGCTTTGATTATAATTTTCATATATAATTGTTCAAATTATCCTCTATTATCACACAAAGAAAAAAAAGCTTAGTTTTTTATTTATTTTTTTAACTTTAATTTTTTTAAATCTTTTCTTTTTTATTCCTTCTTTTAATATATCGTTTTTTTATTTATTTATTTATTTTTACATTCCCCACAGTCCATATGGGTGGAAAATAAATAAATTTATTTTTTACTTATTTAATTTTTTCCCCCCTATTTGAAATTTATTCTTCAATTCAAATTATTAAATAAATTTAAAATAAAAAAAAAATAAAAAAAATATTGATGAAATTCTCCAACGTTTATTATCAACGATTGAAAAAAAAAAAAAATTTTTTTACTCAAAAAACAACTATTTTTTTGCCTAAAATTTTTATTTTAAAAATTTTACTCAAAAAACAACTTTTTTTTGCCTAAAATTTTTATTTTAAAAATTTTACTCAAAAAACAACTATTTTTTTGCCTAAAATTTTTATTTTAAAAATTTTTTACACAGAGAGAAACGTTGCAAAAAAATTTTTTAGATTAAAAAATTCTAAATAATTTGATTAAAAAAATTTTTTCTTAATCGTTGAACTTCACCAATGTAAAAAATAAAATTAAAATTCGATTTTGAATTGAAATTTTGAAATTTTTAATTAAAAAAAAAAATTATGGTAAAGGAAGTGAAAATTAAATTTTTGAAAAAAATTAAAAATTGGCCACAAAATTTTGATTTTTGAGAAAATATATTATTAAAATTTTTTTCCCCATGCTAGAAGAATGATATATTTATATATTTTGAAAATATATATATATACTCACCGCCTCCATTTTGTTGGCATAAATATGGAAACCTCCATATGTTCCCGAGGCCCACACTGTAACCAATAATACTGAGAAAAAACTGCAATTTGCCACTCCATTGTGCCCGATTAGCTTCTTCGGTTTCCTGATTTCTTGCATTTTGATTTGCTGGTACAACAATGGTGACATTGTGTCCAGTATGTAATCTACCTTCATTCAGGGGAGCCAATTCATGGCCGTGTTTTGAATTTTCCGGATTTACCCCCATGCTAAATTTTGTTTTTTTTTTTAATTATATATATATATTTTTTTTATCCAAACGATAATAAAATTGCTTTTGTTTTTTTTCTTCTTTCTCACTTTAATCCTTTCGTTTAGTGGGGAGAAAAAATGTCGAAAGAATTATTTTTATATTTAATATATTTAAAACACCGTTAAAGAAAAAAGTCTATAAAAAAGTATCGACTTTTTAAATTCATTTCACGAGTGGGGAGGGGGAAAAAAATGCACACGTTTTAAACACTCGAAAATGTCACTTTTTAATAAAACAATATTTTTTTTTATCAAATTCTATTTTTTGGAACTATTTTACAATTTTCTTAATTTTCAGATAGTTTTTTTTTTTTTTTTAAATTTGTGTAATTAAAATTTTAATTTATAAACGTAATTTGAAAAATTGTATTATATTTTTAAAATAAAATTCAAAATTAAATTATTATTGTATTTTTCTAAATTTAACGTTTTTGAAAATTCACTATTTTTAGGTATTTTTTTTTCTCTCGGAAAGTTCAACTATTTTGAGACTTTAGATATTATTTTTAAAAGTTTCTTCTATATACTTTTGTGACTGTAGCTATTTTTGGACTATTTTTGTCACTTTCAATTATTTTCAGTTATATTTTGAAATTTCAACTATTTTGAAAAAGAAAATATCAAAAAAAATTTTTCAACTATTTTCAAAAAAAAAAAAAAAAATCGTATTTTGTAAAATTCAACAATTTTTCGAAGAAAACAACAATAATTACTTTTAAAAACAAAACGTTTATAAAAATTTTTGTTTCAATGAAATATTGTAAATAAAAATCCAAAAAATGGAGAAAATTTTTATTATTTTTTAATAATTACTGAGAAAGAAATTAACTGGAAGATCGCGAGTATGCAATGAACTATAGAGTCTTATTATTGATATTAATTTTCCACTGTTTGATGTTTACTTTTTTAAAAAAAGCACGTGACACTAGGGAGTGAATTTGGTTTTTTTTACTAATGATTCATTCCATCAAGGATTATTATTGCGCAAATTTATATTTCAATGTTGATTCACCTTTGAAATTCAAATATTTGATTAAAACAGGAACACTTTGATTTTAAGGCTGCAAAAAATTGCCACTGATTTTTTTTTCGCCTACGAAAATTTTTTTCTTTTATTTACAGAGTATTATGTTTTTTTATACATTTTTATAAATACATTTGTTTTCATTTTCATATTTGCATCATTTTTTTTTCTTCTCTTTTCATTATTAACTTATTTAAATTTTTTTATTTTTTAATCGATATTTCTTTTCTATTCTTTCTTTTTTTTCTTTTATATTCTTATATTTTTGTATTTGGTTTTTTCTTGCATTTAAAAAAAAAGAGAGAGTGATTCCAAAATTGAATCTAAATAAATTCAGATGATTATAAATTTAGATGAAATTTTCTGGATTTTCTCTATTGGATGCTTGTAAATTTTGTTTTAATCATGTAAACTCTGTCAAAATTCCACAGCGAGGAGTCGATAAAATGCTAACCGGCAAAGGCGTGGATTACTTGAATTTGATACTCTTGAGATTGTGCAAACTTGCGTTATAATCGGTGTGAATAATAGCCGGTGTCAATTTTGAACCCATGTATGTCAATATTTTGAAAACTTTGAGTTTGGTGAAATTTTTTGTTTTTTTAATTTGTATAAAAAGTCGTGAATTTTTGAATTGGAAAAAAATGTGTTATTTTTTTTTTTTTTCTTATAACGTCGCGATGTGTTCCGTTCGTTGGCCGATAACGGACTAAAGGGACCATCCAAACCGTTTGACGATTGGTACCCCCAGGGTAGGCGAGGAAACCTCAACTCAGGGCCGTCTTCAATTGTGAAATAAGGGAGAAATGAGCGAAGGGGAGGTTTTTTTTTTTTTTTTCTTATTATAAACTCAAACTAAAAAATTTGCTCTTTCTCTTTGAAAAATATATCTATGTCATTGGAATATTATTATTATTTTTTTTTTGATTATTATAAAAATAAAAAATATTTTTCTCAAAGAATGAAATTATTATTGTATTTAGAAATTTATTTTTAATAATAATAAATAAGTTTCTGAAAATATTAGACCAAATAAAAATTTTTTTAATGATAAAACGTCTATTGGATTAGTAAATTTTGTACAAGTCAGTAAACAATGTTGTTGTTGTAAATTATTTGAATTCAAGTGTAATTCCATTTACACTTTCACTTTCACCGATTCTAATTTTGACTGATAATTTCACTGTCACTTCCTCTGATTCTAATTTTTACTTATATTTTCACTTTATATATTCTAATTTTACTCTCACTTTCACTTTCACTTTCACTGATTTGAATTTTAACTCACGATTTAATTTTTATTTCCACTAATTTATAATCTGTTGAAGTGGAAGTGAAAAATTAGAATCAATGCAAAAAAAAAGGGAAAATGAGGAAGTGAAAATTAAATTTAGTGGAAGTGAAAGTGAAAATACGAATTAGTGGAAGTAAAAGTGAAAATATAAGTAAAAATAAGAATCATTGGATATGAAAGTGAAAATATGAATAAAAATAAGAATCAGTGAAAGTGAAATTATATAATTGAATAATTTTTATTTTAAATTAATTTTAAATTAGGAAGGAAAAACAAAAATATACCAAATTTTTAACTATTTTGAAATAACCTAAAAATGAATTTAACTTATGATTACACCCAAAAAAAACGAAACTAAATTTACGAAGCTGAAGTACGCAACGTTTATATGATAAACGATTTTTATAAAGAAATAATTTTTTAAAATGAAAAATTCTATAATTTTTTGCCTAAAAAAATATTTCTTGCAGTTTTTATTAATCAATAAATATTATAAAAAAATATTTTTTAGGCAAAAAATTATAGAATTTTTCATTTTAAAAAATTATTTCTTTAAAAATCGTTTATCATATAAACGTTGCGTACTTCAGCTTCGTACTAAATTTAAGAATATCTTCTTGGCGCCTATTTAAGAATATTTATTACCACGTATTTTATTCTTAAATTTAGAATAAAATAATTTTAAAATAAGAAATAATTTTTAAATTAAGAAATATTCTCCTTTTAAGATTATTATTATTTTTCAGTATATAGATCATTGATTATAGTAGAAATATTACAATTTGAATCATCAGTAATTGACTTTTTGCTATTTTTACTTATTTTTAACTATAATTCAAAGTTAGAAGGTATATATGAAACAAACATATTATATTTTGTCATTTGTGCGAAAAAAAGAACTGTCAGTCTTCAGTGACAATAGAAAAGGTTATGCTATATACCTACACATTTATATTTTATAATACTTATATACCCTTTTATATACTGTACCCTTAAGCATTTTGTATCATCTCCGTGTGTTTCTAAATTTAAAATTGAAGGTTCTGTCAGACTTTCTTTAAAAATAGCACATTCATTCTTTTTAGATCTTATATTTCCAATTTCTTTGTATATATATATATATATTTAAAAATTTATTAATATTAAAAAAAAAAATTATCTACTATTTTTGGTATTAAAATAACATTGATCATAATTAATTATAAATAATAATAATAATAAAAATAATACAAATAAAACAATAATAATAATAATCCATGATGAAAAAAGAATTGGTTTAAAGCATATATAAATTTTTTTTACTAAATTTTTTTACTTAAAGTGTGGATTTTTTATTTATTTCAAATTTGTAAAAAGATTTATGTTAAAATTTTTATTTGAATAATTGTTCTGCAAAATCGTTAATATTTTCGTATCAGTTAATGAATTTTCACCCTAAAGGTATATGTAATTTATTAATTGACAGAGCAGTAATTTAGCAAAGGAATCATAATTCATTTTCACATATACATATATATATATGTATATATTTCACGGAGTATACGGGAAAGGAAAACAATCAAAAATCCACATGAGCCAAAAGTTTTGAACGTTCAAATGAACGTAAATTTTTTTTTGTAACTTTTTTAAGTATGAATTTTATTACAAAATATTATTTTAAATATCTAAAAAGAAGTTATTAATTTAATATTTGTTTAATTTTTCTGTTTTATTTTACATTAATATTATAATTTTTAATAATTTATAGATTGAAAAAAAAAATTTTGTTCATTTGAACGTTCAGAACTTTTAGCTCATAAATCCACATTATTTACTTTCAAGTATAATTTATATAATATGGGAATGATTTATCTTACTATACTTACAATTAGAAAAATATTTTTTATATTATTATAATTTTTTTTTTTCGAAAAACGCTATTGTTTGTAAAAATTGAATAAAAATTACAATTCTTCATCAACTTTAAACAAAAAATATAAAAAATGAAATAATTATTATTTAAAAAGAAATTTTTCAGCAAAATAATTTATTTTGATAATTGTGCAACTGAATTTTTTAATATATATTTAATGAAATTAATTATATTTATAGTTTTATTTGTTGTTAAAAATAAATTTTTAATTTGAGGTTATGTTAATTGGCGAAGCACCCTTAGGGAGGATAAAGGCCCTAACATAACCTCAAAACTGGAAAATGTTTTTAAAACGCAAACAAAACTTCAATAAAAATTAATTTCAAACAATTTTAAAAGATCTAGTTATATACACTTTTTGGAAGAAATTATATGTTAAATTAAAATCTTTTGTTCAATAATGATTATTTTTTAAACATTTTACAGAAAATTAAAAGGCATTAAAATAAGCTGCAACGCTTATTATTTCAATCCAATTTTGCTTATTTTAATCCATTTTGGTATTAAAATAAGCAAAATTGGATTAAAATAATAAGCGTTGCAGCTTATTTAAATACCTTATAATTTTCTGTGTTTTAAAATTGCTTTTGAAAATTAATAATTTATATATATGAAGGTTTCGTTTGCGTTAAAAATCGTTTTTCAGTTTTAAGGTTATGTTAGAGCCTCCATTCTTTTACAATTTAAATATGTAAAATTTCTAATTTGAATTAGTTAAAAATAACTAATTTGACATAAGAAAAAATCAGTTACTAATTCAAATAGTAATATTTATATATACTAATTTTTTAGTTAAAAATAACTAATTATTAGTTATAAATTCTCTTTCTAAGGACTCGCATAGATAACTTTTGTAACATAAATTTTATTTGTAAAAACTTTTATTTAACTAAATTTTCAATAAAGACATTTTTTATTTATAAACGAATTATTATTTAGCAGAATTATCTTTTATAATATCATTTCCATACTTAGTCGAACTTTGAAATATAGCAGAATTTCCATTTCATTAAAACTTTCTTTACCGGAAGTTTTATTTGCACGAATTATCAAATCATCAAATTTATTATTCATTTCATAAAAATAACAAATGGCCGAACAAATATCCGGCGGCAAAAAAGTTTTGGCGCGAATTTTAAAAATTATTCAAATCATAGAAATAATCAAGAAAATTGTATGATTGTTTTTAAAATTCCCGCCAAAAATTTTCTGTCTGTTATTTGTTCGGCTATTTGCAATTTCGGTCAAATAAAAATTCGGTGATTTGATAATAATTTGCAAATAAAAATTCAGTTTCGGTGAAATAAGAATTATATTATAAAAATTTAGTTAAATAAAAATTCTTAAATATGATAATTCAATATATAAATTCAAAGATTATTAATTTCAAAAACCATAGAAATTCCAACCACGGGAGGTCGCTATTTTTTTTTTTTTAGGGAAAATTCTCTAAAGCGTTACCACTTATATTGAGGGGATGAATTTATACACTTTGAAAATTCGGTGGTCCTTGAAACACCAATAATACAACGTTGTGTTGGTTAAATCCTCGTGGATCAATGACAACATTTCGAGGGGGCGTAGCTCGTGACGTTTCACATTGCTGACTATATAGTACCTATAGAATCTCGTGCTTCTAATACTACGCAGTTTACCCTCTACTCCCTTAACTTCCGGTGGTGGCTGACGCGCAGTAGCAGCTGGCAGTATTTTTTTTTTTTTTTTTTCATCATTCACTTTCATTTATATATTTATGGGCAAATCTATAGAATCGGGCAATTTCAATGTTACTTATGACAGAAAACATTTTAATAACAGATAAATAAATAAATATATTGTTTATAGATATCAGTGCCATTTGAGAACATATTTAATAGAGAAAATTTACAAAACGATTTTCTATATTAGAGAATTTTTTTATATAACTGAAAATTCAATTCACCGAATTTTTATATGTCAGAATTTTTATATGCTCAAATTTTCATTTAACATAATAGGCATTTTAAAGAATTTTTATTCGGTAGAATTTCATTGCATAGTATTTTCATTTTATTCTTTCAGATGAATTTTCATTTGTTCGAATTATTATATTTGATATAATTTCCATATAACCGATTTTTCATACTACAGAATTTTTACTGAACCGCAAAAAATCATTTAACAGAATTTCTAATTGATAGAATTTTCATCATTTGACAGAAAGATTTCGGCGCGATTTTTAAAATCAACCAATCACACACGGAAAAAAATGAATGGATATCATAACCATAAAAATATTGTTATTCATAATATTGTTGGGGTATCCATTCATATGGCTGGCGCAACTTCAAGTATGGAAGAATTTACAAAAAAAAAAATGGTTGTGGGAACCATATAATATTTGTAAATTTGATATGGATGTACCAACCATATGTTTGGTTGTGTTTTCAATACCGCTATGGATTTTACTAGTTTGGATCTCCTATCCATTTTTAAATGGTTACGCTCGTTGATCTAAATAGATGTACGCGTTTGCGCGGTAATCAGACTCGGTCAGCTGGTCACATATTGCGTCATTCTATTTCGCGTCCTAAAAGCGTGTTTGAAAGAAAAAAAGCAATTTTGGCATAAATTAAATTATTTAAAATTGGCTCTAAGTGGTTCGGGTTGGATATAAACAACATGGAAGCTGAGTGCTTTCAATTTTTTAAAAAAGATGGATTCGAGGAATACATACCGCATTTTGAAGATAAGCAATAATATCAGTAAATTATAGGTTATGTTTCCACGTGCTCAAATCTTTGTTGGATTTTTAATTGCTTTTTTTAAGTTAAATATAATAATGTTTTCACATGTTTTTCACATGATAATTTTACCTTTTTTTAATTTTCAAAAATAACGATTATTATATGTATTAATTCCAATTTTTTTTCTACTTCTCTAGAAGAGCTTTTTTATGATGTGTGGCGAGTGTTCTAGAATTATGTCTACGATACTGCCGAATTATGATTGTGTTCTTGTAAATGATTTGCATTCTCCTTTCCCAGTCACAATTTGCAAATGGGGAAATGGTTCCATGTTTTTGCAACTTTACGTCATAAATTATAATTATAATATTATTAAAAGTATATCGCGATATTATTTTAAGTTGTTCGCACGAATTATTATATATAATATTATATTTTATTGTAATAAACATTTACATTTACGTTTTATTGGAAAAAATAAATATGTTAATATGATACGCAATGTTTTAAATTAATTAAAAATAACCTTATTAATAATATAATTAAGAAAATAAAATAAATATTAAGTATAACCATATAAAATAGATACGTTAACTATATTAATATAGTACACACAGGTCAATGGTTGCAGCAACAATTAAAAATGGTTGTGACATCCATAGTGAGATTTGTGCTACTTCCATATTATATGGTTCACACAGCTATATACCTTTGTTATTGCATCAATTTACAGCTAACTATTTTATATGGATGTAGCATCCATAGATAAGGATGGGACGTATTTTTCAATATAATATGGTTGGGGCAACCAGACGTATGGATGTGACATCCATTGCTTTTTTTCAGTGCAATTTTATGGATAATTTTTGATTGGTTGATTTTAAAAATCGCGACAAAATCTTTCTGTCGATTGTTTGTTCGAACATTTGTAATTTCGGACAAATGATGAAAATTTTATCAATTAGAAATTCTGTTAAATGATTTTTCGGTTAATTTTCGTATTTATAACGTTAAATCGTTCTGTTCTGGAGATTTGCCCTCACACTGTAAAAAGAAGGTACTAAAATAGTACCGATTTTAGGTATTAAAATAGAACCAAAAGGCAATTTTGTTTACCTAAAGTTGGTATTAAATTAATACCTCTCGTTTTACAGTGCATAACGTAGGCAAGTATAGAAGAATCCGTCATTTAGCTAAACGCCTAGACTGTTAGCAAACCGACATTAAATAGAGAAATGGACTTGAAAAATGATTAAATTCGGCTATTTGCCTAAAGCTGTGAAGGCAAATAGAAGAAAATAACTATTATATCATCTATATGTATTGAAAACAGGGAAACATATTTAATTTCTGAAATAAAAGTTAGAAATGTTAAATGTATACAAGTAATTTATAGAAATTGTAAACAGAAGATTGAAACTTTAATAGTAGCTTAAATATGCGTTACAAAATAAAATTTCATTTAGTATAATCTTATACTGTTCCTACACTCTATAAATTAAAGTTGACGTGAAATTTTATTATTTTTTTGTTTTCTTATACAAAACATGAGTGTAAATCGCAGTGAATTTGATGAAAAATTAAAATTATTATACAGTGAACAAAAAAGTAATAAAACTATTTGGAATAAAAAACGTTTACTTGAAGTAATACAAATGCTTATAGAATATAAAAATGTTAAATCAACAAAAAGCAGTTCGTACTATCATTGTATAAAATTATATGAAATTATAAAACATGATGGTGAAAATCATTTAATTTTAAAACGAAAGAAAGAAAAAAATCAGTTGATTTATGTTATTGCAATTGAGGATTATTATGAAAAATTACTCGAAGCTCACATTCAAACTGGACACGGAGGAAGGGATAGAATGTTATATTATATTAGAAATAAGTGGAGAATTTCAAGACAAGCTTGTGAATTGTTTATTCAATGCTGTGAAAGTTGTAATAGAAAAAAATCGTTTTCAAAAAAAATAATAGAACCAATTAATTCAGAGGGATTTAATATACGTGGTCAAGTGGATATAATTGATTTTCAATCATGCAGTGACGGTGATTATAAATGGATAATGAATTATCAAGATTATGCTACAAAATTTATCCAATTGCGACCGTTGAAATCAAAACATGCAGCGAATATAGCAGAGGAATTGTTGACAATTTTTTGCACATTTGGAGCACCACAAATTCTTCAAAGCAATAATGGACAAGTATTTGTTGCTTCTGTTGTAACTGAACTTACAAGAATTTGTCATATTTTTAAAATTGTCCATGGCCACTCTAGACATCCTTCGAATCAAGAAAGTGATATCGAAAACATGATTCGCGCTTGGATGGTGGACAATAAATCAACAAATTGGAGCCATGGTATTTACGAAGTGCAGGTAAATAATTGTTATTTTGAACAAAAAATTTTAAATTGTGAATTTTTCTACACTCAAAAAAAAAAACCTATTAATAGGGACACATATGATTATGTTCTAAAAATCATTAGTTAGAATTTTCATTTTATGGAATTTTATTTGTCATATAATTATTTTTGAGCCAAATTTTTATTTGATCGAATTCTTATTTTGAAGAATTTTTATCAAAACGATTTTCTATGTTATAGAATTTTTATATAACCGAAAATTCATTTCACAAAGTTTTTATATTTGTTCGAATTTGCCGAACAAACAATATCGACAGAAAGATTTTGGCGCAATTTTTAAAATCAAAAATTATCGATAAAATTTTGCTGGGTTGATTTTAAAAATCGCGCCGAAATCTTTCTGTCGATTGATTGGTTCGGCTATTTGTAATTTCGGACAAATGATATGAAAATTCTATCAATTAGAAATTCTGTTAAATAATTTTTCGGTTAGGTAAAAATTCTGAAGTATGAAAAATCGGTTATATGTAAATTATATAAAATAATATAATTCAAACAAATAAAAATGCGGCTAAAAAATAATCATATGACAAATCAAATTTCATAAAATGAAAATTCTACCCTACATTGAAAATTCCTACAAAGTTTTCCACGTGTGATCCTTTAAAACCAATCTATAAGGAATCTTCATAAGATCTTTTGTAAGATCTTACGTGGGGTGCGTATAAGGAAGCTTGCAGACAACATACAACAATACTGTACGAATTTGGTTCAGGAAATGTTACAGGAAACTATATATTGTTTACTACGTAGGATCCTATAAAGGATGTCACAGAAAATGAAAATTAAAAATAATTTTTTTATTTCCACTAACATCTAACCACAGACTGCCGAGAAAAAAAAACTTTCTTATACTCTGGAAAGTAGAAACTAGATTGGCAGAGTATGAGGAAGATTTTTCTTTTTCTTGGCAGTCGGTAGTTAGGTTAAAAATAGAACCAAATAACAATTTAGTACCTAAAGTCGGTATTAAATTAATAAATTAAACTATATAGTTTCCTGTAACATTTCCTGAACCAAATTCGTACAGTATTGTTGTATGATGTCTGAAACCTAAATTCCTTATACGCACCCTACGTAAGATCCCCCACAGCACCAGATATCCTAGGATATTCCAAAAACATCCCTTGGATATCCTAGGGATACCCCAGAGATATCCTAAGGATACTTTAAGGATATCCAAAGTAGCGACGGTTAGGATATCCTAGGGATATCCCAGGGATATCTAAGGATGTCCCTAGGACGTGCCAGGGATATCCTAATTATTTCCCCGGATATTATTAGGATATACTGTGGATATCCTTAGAACGTCCCAAGGATATCCTCAGGACGTCCAATTACGTCCAAAGGTAACAGGCCAGAGTTGAAAGATGATTGACAATCACGGGAAACCTATTTGTATCAAAAAATCGCTATCTCAAATAGTCAAAATTTGAATTATAATGATATCCTAGGGAGATCTTAGCGATATTTCTAGAATATTTTAACGATATATCAAGTTTATCCCAAGAATATCCCCATGATATCACTAGGATATCCCTGGAATATCCCAGGGATATCCCTAGAATATCCTCAGGATATCCCAAAAATATCCTATGTAACGGCGGTTTGGATGTTCTGAGGAAATCCTCAGGATATCCTAGGATATCCTATGGACGTTTTCAGGATATCCTACATTAGTTTAGGATATCCTCAGGATATCCTTTTGTTGTGAGGGATCTTACAAAGGATCTTATGAGGATTCCTTATAGGTTAGTTTTAAAGGATCACGCACTTGGGAAACTTTGTATAGGAATTTTCAATAGGGATAACTAATGATTTTTAGAACATAATCATGCGTGTCCCCATTAATAATTCTATAAATAATAATAATAATAATAATAATAATAATAATAATAATAATAATATATGTCAATTTCAGTGGGCAAAAAATACAACCAAGCATAAAATTTTAAACTTGACTCCATATGAGGCTGTTTTTGGACCAATTCGAGCGGGCCTGAAGATTACAAATTTGCCAGATGAGATATTAAATCAACTTTCTTCAGAAGAAGATCTGGAAAATGCTCTGGAAGCATATACAAATAAAACGAGTGTTGATAGGTATTTTTCAATTTTTATAGTTGACATTTTCATGAGTTATATAGCACACGCATGCTTTTTGAAATAATTAAATTATTAATCATATTTTTTAAATTTTGCAGTGTTCCTGAAAATTTAGTGGAAGTAATTCTTTCTCCCATGGAAGAAGATGATCCAATCGCGTTTTAGCATAAATTCAGATAATTTTTTCGATTTTGAAAATTTAGAAGACAAAGATTGTTGATATTTTTGACGATGTTTTAAAAAATGTTCCGTGTTTCGAAAAAAAAATATTTTAAAATCAATTTTTATCAAATTTTTACATTCAATGATGTTTTTATAGGACGATTTGTTTAAGGTCTCTCTCTTTGCCAAAGAATTTCAGAGAGTAAATTTTAATCTAGTCTATTTCTATTTTTATACTTTATAAACTATTCAATTCTTCTAAATATCGAAAATACTTCTTCTTCGTCTTCTTTTAAGTATCTTTAAAATTAATTATATATAGTACAGCTGATATAGCTGCTTGGATAAATTGCTCGACTTTTGTACTGAAAATCGAAAGTTCAAATCTTCGGATCGACAATTTTTTTTCTGCACAAAATTGAAAAAACGTTATTGAAAAGAATTGAATTGAGACTATTTTAAATTATTTAAAATGGACAAAAATGGAATTGAGAAGAATTAAAAATGTTCAATTCTTCTCAATTTCTCGCTTTTTTACTGAGAAAATAATGCAATAGCCTTTTTAATAAAAAAAAATAAAAAATACATTCGTCAGTTATCATTGCATAATTTAAAAAAACTAGAAAAATATTATTAAAAAAGCAATAGCGGTTTGAAAGACCGAGTAAAATATTAAGGGTAATTTTTTAGTACCTGGAGGTTAAAATTGAAATTTTACTAAAATCTATATTTATTAAAAATGTAACATATTTTTTAAATTAATTTTAAATTTTTATTTTAGGTTAAGCAAATAAGTCAATTTAATTTCCAATAAACTTTTTAAGTTATTTTAAGAGAGAAAGTTATAAAATTAACTTGAAAAACATGTATACATGTTACATTTTTGAGGTTATGTTGCACCCCTTGTTAATTTACTTATTTCTAGTTTTTTTTACACAAATGTATGTTAAAGATTAACTATAGAAAAATTATTTATTGCAAAACAAATTTTCGAAAAATAATTAATTAATTAAAAACTTTGGGACATAGAGATAGATTGTTGAAAATTTTTTATCTCTCTCTATATATATATATATATATATATATATGAGGCAAAATTCCTGAAATGTCCGAACAAAAAATTAAAAGTTCTCGAATTTAATCCATACTTTTCTAAAATGTTGTTATTGTTGGTGAAAGTCTAAAAATCAATTATTATTGAATTTAATAAAATAGTTTTTGAATTACAACGTTTTTAATTTTTGACTTTTGAAAAAAAAAATTTTTTTTCAATGTACAATATTTATAAGAAGAATGCATAAAAGTTAACATATATATAATGATTTTTGAAGCTTTTTTGACGAGCTACACGCTGTTAATAAAATTTTTTTTTTTAAATAACATTTGACCTTGAAATTCAAGGTCAAAATGTTAATTTACGTTTATCTCAAAATCGGATTTTTTAAAATTATTTTTAACTATCTCAATGGAAAGCTTGACTAATCTCCTACAAAACATGTAATTTTCAGAGTGGGATCTTTTAAAGTTTTTGAGATATTAATTAATTAATTAATTAATGTTTATAACAAATGAAATATTTTACAAACGAATAAAGTTACCGTAATTCTGAAGTTAATAATTGAAAGTTAACGTAATTCCGCATCCAACGAGCCCTATATGAAGTATTTTGGATAAGTAGATTGTTAATAAACAATTAGTTAACATTGCAATTGTTTATTAACAATCTACTTATCCAAAATACTTCATATAGGGCTCGTTGGATGCGGAATTAGCTTAACTTTCAATTGGTTAGTTTAGATTTACAATAACTTTATTTGTTTGTAAGATATTTCATTTTTTATTGTTATTTAACTAAAATTGAACAAAAATACTTCATATAGGGCTTTTGGATGCTTGTTGTTAGTAAAAAATAAAATATTTTACAAACAAATAAAGTTATGGTAATGCTGAACTTACCAATTGAAATTTAAGGTAATTCCGCATCCAACGAGCCCTATATGAAGTATTTTGGATAAGTAGATTGTTAATAAACAATTGCAATGTTAACTAATTGTTTATTAACAATCTACTTATCCAAAATACTTCATATAGGGCTCGTTGGATGCGGAATTACGTTAACTTTCAATTACTAACTTCAGAATTACGGTAACTTTATTCGTTTGTAAAATATTTCATTTGTTATAAACATTAATTAATTAATTAATTAATATCTCAAAAACTTTAAAAGATCCCACTCTGAAAATTACATGTTTTGTAGGAAATTAGTCAAGCTTTCCATTGAGATAGTTAAAAATAATTTTAAAAAATCCGATTTTGAGATAAACGTAAATTAACATTTTGACCTTGAATTTCAAGGTCAAATGTTATTTAAAAAAAAAAAAATTTATTAACAGCGTGTAGCCCATCAAAAAAGCTTTAAAAATCATTATATATATGTTAACTTTTATGCATTCTACTTATAAATATTGTACATTGAAAAAAATTTTTTTTTTCAAAAGTCAAAAATTAAAAACGTTGTAATTCAAAAACTATTTTATTAAATTCAATAATAATTGATTTTTAGACTTTCACCAACAATAACAACATTTTAGAAAAGTATGGATTAAATTCGAGAACTTTTAATTTTTTGTTCGGACATTTCAGGAATTTTGCCTCATATATATAATTTAATTATTTACAATTAATTATTTAATTTGTTATTCAATATAATTTAAATCCCTTAATATTATTTGAATTTTCCCGCCGCTTTTTTTGAAAAAACGGGAATTATTAAAATGGCGCTTCCTGTCTTCTAATCAAAGTACCGTATATAGAGATCAAGGCAGAGCCAATGCGAGCTAGGAATGAACTAGAAAAAGACACATTAGTTTACTATTCGTTATATTGCTTTATTTGCATAATATTTGCATTAAATCTTAGTAAATGAGTAGAAAAGTGATATTCCTTTTATACTTTTTAATCATTTCTCAAAAATTTTTCTTAAAAAATTTTAAACCCAAATCTTTATTCATTTTTTAAAGAAAGTTTACCAGTTGTAAAAAATGTCTTTTTCCCATATGGCCCAATATTACAGTTGAAGTTTTGAGAAAAAGCCTACTATAATAATAATTAAAATGCTTAGTAATTTATTAATAATTTTCTTTTAATTTTTATTATCTTTTACTTCTGTAAAAGTAAAATTTAATTTTGATATATTCGAACTCACCAAATATTGACTCAAATATATTGATGATAATTTTCTTGCGAAACTATATTTATTAATATTAATTTCAACAAAATAATGTTAAGTAATTTATTTCTTTCTTAATTTATTTAATATATTTAATGACTCATTTTTTTTTTATCATAAATAACTCGATCGATAGAATACAATTTTTTTTCTATATTAATTATAATAATATGATATTGAGGTTCTCCTTTGTATAATTAAAATAATATCGATCCTGCAATATATACACTTTTGAATTACCTCAATTTATTTGTAGAAAAATTTCTCCGATAGTGCATTTATATATATATATATACTATATAAGCTAATAGCTTTTACCTTTAATGAAGTCGCTTGGCTAATGATTTTCAATAAAAAAAGTATAAGTATGGGAATAACAAATTTTTTAATGGTCAACTTAGAATTAAAATTGTAAAAAAGTCACAAGCAAAAAAAAAAAATTATTTATTTATGAGGAAGGCTATAATAGTGGATTCTTATGTCGCGTGAGACGCCTGCTGTTAGGCCATCGGTTTTACTTGGTTGTTGAAAGAAAAACAAAACAACGAAATTGCTTGAATTCCTTTCTTATTCTCACATGAGAATTTTTATTGAAGTTTTTCCTAGTTTATTTGATATAAAAAGAAAATAGAATTTACAAAAAGAATTTTCTTTTTCCTTTATATCCTCAGGTTTTGAATTTTGAAAACGCATAAATATCACCATAAAAGTTTGTTTTGAAAATTTTCAATTTTAACGATATTAATATTTAATTGAATTGACATTTACAAGCGAATTATGCATTTTTCAAACAGAAAGTTTCATCAAAATTATAAAATAAAAAAAAAAAAATTATTAAAATATTAGTCAGTACAGAAACTAACCTGGGCCTTGTTGGAGCCCGGTCAAAATTTCTGTTAGAAAAACCTAACAGAGCTTCGTCAGTTTTTCTACAAATTAGAAAATAATAAATTAATTAAAAATATCGTTTATTTACATTTTTTTGAACTAGGAAAACTGGCAAAATCCTGACTACAGCCCGGTTTCAAATTATAGTTTATACCTCATCATTTAGGGTTTTGGTATGGAATTATAGTCAATTCCCTAAAAATTAAAAGTAATTAGAAAGATTACTTTTAGTAAAGAATTTTTTTCCTTTTTTTCAAACTAGGAAAACTGTCTAAGACCTGACCAAGGCCCAATTTTATTCTAATATAAATAAATTTATAAGCAAATTAGAAAAAATATTTGCATTTTCAGAAAAATTGTTAAATTTCAACTATATTCAGTAAATTATCATTGATTATCAAAAAGAGTCTAAATATAGTTTTTGAAAATTATATACTTTTTGAGAAATGTGAGGATATGAATATTTTTGTGCAATATAGGTAGATAGATACACGTGTCAGAATGAGGAAAATTAGTCAAATGTTCTCATTATAGTCAAGCAGCAACTTAACATTTTGTTCCCTCTAATTTCTTGCATTCATTTCACGTCACATCCTCATTCATGATCTTATTAATGATCATATTTTCTACACAATCAAAACTAACTATATCATCATGGTCATGAAATTGTACAATAGTCTAGATATTTATATCATTAAATATGCAACTTGTTTTTCTTATTAGTAATAGAAAAATAAACATTACAAATAAAATTGTACAGATATAGGATAAAAAATATATATACATATATAAATTACATTCTTTTATATATAATATAATGATAATTTTTATGCTTACACGTGCAAAAATTGACCCATTTAAATTTATTTATATATTAATTTTTTTTTCAAAGTATTTAAAATAGGACTTTGGTCAGGGCCTCGACAGTTTTCCCTGTTTGCAAAAAATGTAAATAAACTAAGTTTTTAAAATTATTTTTGTAAAAAAAAAAAATTATTTATAATTTAAGGTTATGTGATTGTTGTAATTTCACATGTAAATTTTCTTCGTATATATAGGTTTTCTCGCAAAATATTTGATAAATTAAAGCTAAAATTTTGTGGAAAACTCAAAAATATTATACAAAGACACGTTTTGTCATGTGCAAGATTATTAATATTTTATTAAAAAATTTATTTTTAAAAAGTTGCACAATTGAAAAACATTTAATATGACGACAATGCGATTTTAATCATTGCCACGATTGCCACAATGCGTTCAATTTTAAAAATTATTCGGACACATGTTTAACGAATCCTTATACTATTTTTGACTTCAACATAAAATTTTGAGCTCAATTCAAAACGATTTTCTATATTACAGAATTTTTATATTAACCGAAAATTCACTTTAAAGAATTTTTATTTGCTCGAATTTTTATTTGCCAGAATTTTCATTTAACATACCTAATAGGCATTTTAAAGAATTTTTA